AAAATCTAATTTTCCAAAATAATTTGCCGAATTTGACTCTTTGGTGATTTATCAGTCCTATATTGCACTTTGTGAGATTGGATTTAGAACCGTGGCAGGAGTCCGAACTATAACAAGAACCTAATTCACGCCCTCTCCAAAAGGGGGGCACGCGGAGAGAGTTCGGGCGGTCTACACTCACCCTATTTGGGAAAACTATTTTGAGGTGCTGGTGATATGCCTCCGCCATGGCACTAGCTTGGGAGGATTCTGGAGCAAGAGCTTTTTTTGTTGTGTTTGTTTTGTATAGCCAAGGGCTTTAAACGTATTGGACTTAAAGTCTACTTTTGTTGTAACCAAGTCTCGTCTTGGAAATATGTCAGCCCTTAGGGCGTTTTGTATGTTTATCTTCATTTCTCTCTTTTAACTTGGAATATATGCTATAGATTCAGGGTTAGGCTTTATGAATGTGTGATGCATATGTTTCTCTTTTGTATATCATATTGAATTAATAGAAGCTAACCTTATTATTGTTGTTGTTGTTGTCATATATTGGATATTGTGGATGGATTATTGTGATCATTTCCGGGCATTACAAAAAGTAACCAAGTTCACCAATGGGATGAGAGAAAAACACATTGGAGGAAGCTTACTGTAAGACTTTAGACATAGAAAACCAGCTGGTCTAGTAGCTTTGGTTGCCTGCATGGGTAGTATTGTCCCCAAACGCTTGTTCTTGCCTTTTCCATCACTTTTTTTGGTCTAAATATCCAACCGTACGTCCTATCGACGTGCCGCTTGCTGTCATAAGTTTTTTTAATGTAGGCCGAGGTGACCGTTATGATATGGGGGCTGATTCGAGGTTGTTTCCAATTGTTGGCCCCAAACGGCCCGTTTTCGCCTTTTTTTTATCACATTTTTTGGTGCACATATCTAAACGTGCGTCCTATTGACACACTGCTTGCTATAACAAGTTTGTTTAATCTAGGTTGAGGTGACCTGGACTCCTCTTCTCGAGCCCTTGCTCCTGGTATGCTCAAAACCTGATTTCGAGCAACTTGATTTCTGGGCAGTTTCAAACAACACGCTGTTTTTGTTCCGAAACGCCACCGACGAGGCTCTGATACCACTTGTTGGGATCTGGGATCCCGCCCAAGACCTTATAGAAATTATTCCATGCAGAAAAACACACCCACACTCAAGGAGACACAATATTTAACGTGGTTCGGCCTCAATGCCTACGTCCACGGGAGAGTAGCCGGTTATCACTATAACAATGGAGATATTACAGAAAGATTACAATGGAGAAGGAGCTCACACTCTCCTCACTCACACACTCACCCGTCTCACTCGCTCACACCGAGGAAGACGGTCTCTCCGCCTCAGATATCTCACTCTCTGTGGCTTGCTCTGCTCTATTTCTCAAACCCTCCCCTCAGCCTCCATTTATACACTAACAGAATGGAGATGGAGAGGCTGGCCTTGCATATGGCCAGCTATCTTGTGTGTTGGCTTCACATGGCCAGCTCATGTGTGTTGGCTTCACATGGCCAACTCTTGCAGCACATGAAGAATCACCCCTCACATGGTGATGATATCCCACAGACAATTGAGTGGTAAAAGGTTCCATGTAATAAAAGGTTCCAAAAGTATATAAGATTATCGTACAATCCACTGACCTCGGAGAAGTTACTGCACCCTGCATTCTACCATGCTACTTTGCCCATTGGGTTTGAGTTAACATTTTATTTTACTGGACTTTTCCTTATGAATTACACAAAAATTTTGGTTTTCTTTAGCACAATGAAAATACACAAAAGAACAATCAATAAGAGGAATATCAAATTTTATTCTAGATGCTCTAGCAGTGCTTTGAGTCTTGCAGTTTTCAAGGTTGGCACTCACACTCTTACTTCTCAAATTGTGCATTGAGGAAGGATCTTGAGCAGTCTTCATTGTCCCCCATGGTCTTAGAAATTAAATCTCAACCATTTTATGTGAATTGTATGTTGGAATTAAAAAAGATAGTAAGAATATTTCAGTGAGCAAAGCTCTCCATTCATGTTCCAGGGTGTAGGGCATTCGATTTGACAGATTCTGCCCTCTGTATCATAACAGTTCATGTTTGAGTATTTTTATTTGATTATTTGTGTTAGTCGTTGTGTCATCCCTAAAGCCAACATATTGACCCTATGAATTAATTTCAAGTTTCAACAGCTCAGAAGAAATGGATTGACAAGTAACATGCGTTTTTTAGTTTTATCCAGGCCTGTGTGTCACCCAAATCATCAAACTTACATATTTTGTTTTTATCAGATATGCCAGAGAAGACACACACTACCTGTTGCGTATTTATGATTTAATGAGAATCAGGTTGCTTTCAGCATTGACTGAGTTTGAAAATTCTAATGAACCGTTGGTGGAGGTATGAGCTTTATAAGCTGTGAACATCCCCTTCTCTATGCAGGTATATTGAAAGAACATAAGGTATTTTAATAACTATTTCACTTTCTAATCTAGATATGACATAGCACCAACATGAAGTGCTCGTAGTGCTTATTTCTATTAAACTCATTTATGTATATTGTAGCTACCTACAATTTGGTGAGATCAAGACATAATTGTTGTGCTTGGTTTGATGTACCTTTTCATTGACTCGCTTAATTTTCTTCTTCATATTCTTTGTATTGCTAAAATTTTAGGGTTGAAAATTTCTACCACCATCTTTGTTACTTTGCCTCTTTTCCTTATCATTAAAATTTCTTTTGTTGCTGATCAAAAACGTAAAAAAATTTAATCACCATCTTCATGGTGGAAGCTTATGCTTGGTTATTTTAATTTTTTAATTTTTTATAATTTTTGAGAGGTTGAGTTGTGATCTTGCTGTTTTTGGTTGTCAAGAAACTTTTCTGTATCTTCCAATGTCTTCGGGGTTGTGCTGATCCTAGGTCTATTGTACTTTGTAATTATGATGCCTACATGTTGAGCTAAAGGATGTTTATAGTTATGGTATATCTTAGAAGGATAGAGGGTCATATTTTTAACTTGATTTGGAATAGATCTCTCTCTATCTCTGTTATGTTTAATTTCACAAACATTTATATTTAAACTAGTTGAAATTTGAAAATGCCCATGCAAGGCATGGGCTTGTAGTGATAAACTTGGACTTAAAAAATACAATACTTTTGGTTATAAGATTGCTTTCAAGAAAGTAAGAAGCTTGGACTCTAAAAAATTAATAATATACAAATTGAAACCGAGTAGTACATAACTTAAAAAAAAAAGGGGGATAAATTACACTTTGCCCTTTTTATTTTGCCATTTTGGAAAGTTTTTTTCCCCTCCACTTTGGCCATTCATGTTTCAAGTTTTTTCTAATTTATTCCTAAAGATAACTTCTACCTAAAATTAGACAAAATGCCATGTGGCATAAAAATATATTATTATATTTAACCCACTAACATAAACCCAAGTTGAAATATAATAATATATTTTTTATGCCACGTGGCAAGCAACGTGGCATTTTTTTTTAATCTAATTCTAGATAGAAGTTAGCTTTAGGAGTAAATAGAGAACTGCACACTCATCTATTCTTCTCTTTCCTAGCTTGCACTAAACATACAGTAGAAAGAGACCTTCTCATCTATTCTTCTCTTTCCTAGCTTGCACTAAACATACAGTAGGAAGAGACCTTCCATCTAACTAATCTATTCAAATCTGTCCTTGTCTGTTATAACCTTTAGGAACCTGGGAGAGAACTACAAAGTAAGTAGCTACTAGGGCTAACAACAAGCTGCAAGTCTTTATGCCACTAACAGAACTTTTGGGAAAAGCGTGAAATGTGAAGGGACAAAGTCGGGAAAAAAAAAAATTTGAGGGCAAAGTGGGAAAATGGCAAAACATAAGGGGGGGCACAGTGTAATTTACTCAAAAAATGATACGAAGAGAAGTTTACATGAAATTAATACTGAATAAATGTGGTAACTTTTAATTTTATCACTTTAAAGCTAAAAGTCATTAATGTGGTTTGTTTTTAAAAAAAAAAATGTCACTGTCACATTATTCTTGTAAAAAATTTGAATAGTGTTTTTTAATTAAAAATTTTGTTTTTATTATTTATTTTTTCCAGAATGATCTGGTTTAAACACACATTGAATTTGAAGAAAATAACTTCCAATTAGTTTATAAATAGAGCTTTCTAAAATATTTATTAAGGCTTTTTGTTCACATTTCTTTTTCAATATGTACAATGTGGAAAATGATTTTCTTACTATTTTGATATAACATAAGATAAATGTAGTTGTAATGTAAAAAAGGTAATTATTTTATGTATCCGTATAAAAATATATATTTATTTGTTGTTGCATCTCTACCTTTTGATCATTTTCTTTCCAAGTCAAAGGAAATCAAACTATCAACAACAGAAAACCCAATGAGGAAAAAACACTGTTGATGTACATTAAATTCTACAATTCATACAGGTAAAGGGTATCACAAACTGAACCAGTAACGTACCCATATATGTAGAGATATGAACTATCTGTCAAAAGTTCTTTTTCATAAAGCCGCATGCATAAATCATAACTGCGCTTGTAGACCTGTAAGCCACAACAGTTTCTTAATAATCAAGGTAAAACTGTGCTCCCATGATACAGTGATAGCTTTACAGGAGGTGAGCATGCTGTTAAGAGCTCTATTAAGTGTGTCACCCCCATGAATTGCACACACATTCACTCACTCTCCCTTCGAAATCTCTCTCTTTGTTTGTTTGGGTTGTAAGTGTGACAAAAGAAGGAGAGATTGTGTGATTGGTAAGGTAAGAAGCACAAATACAACACAATACAAGCATGCTGACAAGACAATTTTCAAAAGAATAATGTTTGAGGGCCCGAAATTAGTGGCAAAAAAAAAAATCAAAACCCAAAACGACGTCGTTTTGGGTTTTGAGCCAAATTTGAGCCACTAATTTCGGGCCCTCAAACATTATTCTTTTGAAAATTGTCTTGTCAGCATGCTTGTATTGTGTTGTATTTGTGCTTCTTACCTTACCAATCACACAATCTCTCCTTCTTTTGTCACACTTACAACCCAAACAAACAAAGAGAGAGATTTCGAAGGGAGAGTGAGTGAATGTGTGTGCAATTCATGGGGGTGACACACTTAATAGAGCTCTTAACAGCATGCTCACCTCCTGTAAAGCTATCACTGTATCATGGGAGCACAGTTTTACCTTGCTTATTAAAAAAAACTGTTGTGGCTTACAGGTCTACAAGCGCAGTTATGATTTATGCATGCGGCTTTATGAAAAAGAACTTTTGACGGATAGTTCATATCTCTACATATATGGGTACGTTTCTGGTTCAGTTTGTGATACCCTTTACCTGTATGAATTGTAGAATTTAATGTACATCAACAGTGTTTTTTCCTCATTGGGTTTTCTGATAGTGTTAGTATATTATTAATTTATGCATGCGGCTTTATGAAAAAGAACTTTTGACGGATAGTTCATATCTCTACATATATGGGTACGTTTCTGGTTCAGTTTGTGATACCCTTTACCTGTATGAATTGTAGAATTTAATGTACATCAACAGTGTTTTTTCCTCATTGGGTTTTCTGATAGTTTGATTTCAAATGATCAAACATACATTTTTTGTCATGTTGATACAGTTTGCAGGGCACTGGTTTCAATGCCCAGCAGCTTGCGATTGTTGCAGTACGTTTATTTTATTTTTCTGCTATCAGCATGATCTTTCTTTATTCCTGAGATAATTTCAATCCTGAAGGGAACCATTGAGGATTTGCTATCTGCATATTTTGGGCTGGTTTGACAAGTGTTTTTTTAGTAACCTTTTTTTCTTCTTTAGGATAAAGTTGTGTTTTGCAAATGCAAAAAAAAAAAACTGTTTTTGTTATCGGGAAAGTTTGGGTGGGTTTGGAATTTTTTGTTGTTTTTGTTTTTAGTGAACTTTTTTGAATTTTTTTATAAAAAAAAAGGATCCTTCCAGACTAGAAATACCTGAAAAGTAAAATTTTCTAACAAAAACTTGAAAAAAGTTCTCTATAGACAAAAAGGTCCAGGAATTTTTTCTTTAGCACTTGCCAAATTTTTTTTTTTAGCACTTTAATTGTGAGGTTGAAGCCAAACAACCAAATGATGCTTAACCTCCTTACTTGACAATCTGAATGGTTTGCAGGGACTTTGTGAATGGAGAGATGTTGTTGCCCGTGTCGAGGATGAAAGTACTGTCTATGTCTTGCCAAACAAAACTCTTCTTGATATTGGTATTTGGAAAACTACATGAATTTTTATTTGATAATTTTTTTTTAATACTGTCATTTATAAATCACGCAATGACATTTTCATATTTTCTCTCTCTCTCTCAATAATGGAAAAAGCCAAACAGAAACCTGTCACCACCAACATGCTACGCCATTTGGTGAAATCAAAGCACCCATACGTAGATCGCAATCTTGGTTCCATTGTCAGCATCATTAGGCATTCAATGCAGAATGCTGCTGCATTTGAAACTACTGCAGAGCTTCTAAAGGAGGTTCACGTGGAAACGGTAAGACTTGCATAGACAAATTAAGGTCAAAAGTCCTCCATGATTCTTCTAATCAACCCTGAACAGATTGTCAAATTGCTATTTTTAGTTTAGACCATCATGGGCAAGCCCTTGAATGTGGGTCATGATAACGCTGAAAATGAAAAATACTATGTGAATTGCAGGGTGCATTGAATAACTTGTATGTTTCAATTTTATTTATTTATTTATTCACTTTGGGGTTATTTTTTCGTTGTATCATGCTTTGTGTTGTGTGCTTTCCCATCTTGGGGAACGAGTAATATCATATTTAAGATTGATGATTCCATATTGTGCATTTTTTTATTTTTTATTTTTTGATAAGCAAAAAAAAAACTTTATTGATGCAAGAAACAAGTACAAAATTACAAAGCAAATTACATCAGTAAAGAAAGGGGAGTGCAAAGCATCACAATGAGCCAAATCATCCCAACTAAGTTGGCATAAAAAAGCTCATCCTATCATTTGCTAGCACCCCCAGTGTTGGTGAGAAAATAACGAGAAAAACAAACCAAACCAAGCAACACTAGCACAGCTGAGTATCCACAGGAGAACACACCAGAAACACAACAACCCCAATCTGCCAAGAAGATCAACCCCAGCAGCAGCAGCCAACAGCCAAATTAACATGATACACTAGAGAGCACCACAGAAGGCAGAGCACTTAGACAAATATTTTGGGTCCTGGGCTGCAATTTTCTCCAAAGACACAAACATTATAGAAGCCTTTCAACAACAAAACCACACTCAAGCGTGCCCAGCAGAGCAAAGATTAGCACCTTTCCAGCAGAAGCAGCAGAAAACCAAAGCAGGGCAGCACAGCAAATAGCAACACAGTAGCAGCAGCAGCTAAACAAAATGGAGCAGTGGCAACCACTATAGATAGCAGCAGCAAACACACAACAATATAACAGCATAGAGCAGTATCAAACAACGAGATGGCAAAGCCCAAAGAGGCAGCAGCAGCAAAACACACAACAGATAGATAGGCAGCCTCAACACAAAGAGATAGATAGACAGCAACAACACAAAGAGGTAGATAGCATCAACACAAAGAGGTAGACAGCATCAACCACACCTCAAAGCCCCCTGATAGATTTCAAATTATAAAGCAAATCATTAACTGAAAAACCAACCCCCTTAGTATGATACTTAAAGCAATGTGCAACTTAATGGACTCACAGACACCACACCAGTTAACATCTGAACCAGCAAACTTGATTTCATTCCTAGCCTTCCACACATACCGCATGACCACAGATGGTACTGGATTCCACGTACACTTAAGCATTTTCTTAAATTTATAACCACTCCACCAATCCAGCAGCTAAGTTATATTCTCAGGAACAACCCACGCCAAACTCCACCTCTTTACCACTACAGACCATGTCCTCCAAGCAAACTGACAATGAAGAAAGACATGACTGGCATCTTCAGCACAGGAATGACAGAAGCAGCACAGAGGAACCACTGGGGTCCAGAACACCAATACTCTGCAGAAACACAGATGTTTTAAGTCTACTTCTCCATGCCAACGAACATGTGAACTGCATTTTTGGAGGAGAGATACCCTTCCATAGCAACCTAGGCACCACTAAACCTGGGCTATCAATGAAGGAAAGCCACTCATAAGCTGATTTTACTAAATGTACCCCTGAGGTACCAAAATTCCACACCAATTTATCCTCCACACCAGGTCTTAACTCTGGTACAAAATTAAGCACATGAATAAGAGCAGATAAATCTACAGATTCCCAAGAATAAAGGTTTCTTCTGAAGTTTAACACCCACCCAGAAGATGAGGACCTTCTACTGAAAATATCAAAAACAGAGGCTTCTTTATCCTGAGAAAGCAAATACAGTCTAGGGAAAGCTAACTTCAAACATCCAACATCAATCCAGGAGTCATTCCAAAAAGAGCATCTAAAGCCATCTCCTAAAACAATACTAATATTGGAGTGCAGGAATTCAAAGAAAATAGGCCTAGAGACAACTACTGACAGTATGTTAGATCAAACTCTAAAGCCACTACTTTGAAGATCAGATGGAGGCAACCAAGACTTTGGAGCATACTTATGTTTACTGCAAATAATGTCTTTCCAAAGGGCCTTCTCCATACACCCAAACCTCCACCACCACTTAGCCAGCAGACATAGATTCACATCTCTAATCCTCCTAGTACCGAGACCACCGACTCTCAAATCTTTAGTAACTACAGACCATTTAACCAGATGCACCCTTTTCTCAAGGTCAGATCCCCCCCATAAAAAGGAAGCTTGAATACGATCAAATTCTTTAGCAACTCCTCCAGGAATCTTAAACAAAGATAAATAATAGACAAGAAGGTTGCTCAAAACATATTTAATTAAAGATAATCTCCCACCAAAAGACAAATGCCTTCTCTTCCAGCTTGTAAGCTTAACTTTAAACTTCCTAATAATAGGGGCCTATGTTGATTTAAGTCTAGGACTAGCACCAAGAGGTAACCCTAAAAAAGAAATAGGAAGCACACCTTTAGAACAATTGAGTATATCAGCAAATTGATCCAGAATGTCCTCCTCCACTCCAACTCCAATAACTGAACTTTTGTTGTAGTTAATCTTAAGACCAAAAACAATTTCAAAGCAACGAAGCAACCTCTTGATACAAAGAATTTCTTCCTGATTGGCCTCACTGAACAAGATGGTGTCATTTGCAAATTGAAGATGTGACACCTTTACCAAATCAGTCCCAATAACAGCCCAGTGAAAATACCCAACTCTCTAGCCCTCAAAATAAAAATATTAAGACTTTCCACAACCATATTAAATAAAAAAGGGGAGAGAAGATCCCCTTCCCTTAAACCCCTTTCTATAATAAACTCCTCTGTATGGCTACCATTAACTAAAACAGAGATTCTAGCATTAGTAACACAGCTTTTAATCCAATTCCTCCATTTGAGACCGAATTCAAAACTTTCTATCAAATTAAATAAGAAATTCCAATTGACATAGTCATACGCTTTCTCAAAGTCGATTTTAATAATCACCCCTTTTTCTTTTTACTCTTCCACCATTCCAACACCTCATTTGCTACAAGCACCCATCAAGAATGGATCTCCCCCCAAAAAAAGCTGACTGGGAAGGGCTAATAATGGATGGAAGAACTAACTTCAACCTTCTAGAAAGCACTTTGGCAAGAATCTTGTACACAGAGCCAATAAGACTAATAGGTCTGTAATCATTGAGGCTACTAGGATTATCAATTTTGGGGATAAGAGCAATAAATGAAGAAATAAGACCAGAGGCCAAGTTTCCATTAGCAAAACACTCTTTGAAAAATAGCATGATATCCCCTTTCATAAAGTTCCAACACTTCCTAATAGCCAAAAGATTAAAACCATCTGGCCCAGGGGCCTTATTCCGATCACAGACCTTTAGAGCACTCCATACCTCAGACTCTGTGAACTCCTTTTTCCAGATCAAAAGCTTGGGAACCAACTAAAGTCTGGAATACACCCCAGAGCACTCCATATTGTGCATTTTAATGTGAAGATTAAGAAATCTGCAACTGGCTTGTTATATTTATCTAGAACTTGTACGGTCCAATAATGAGATTATGTAAACATTTGAACATAAAGAAGAAACCGATACTTGTCCCTACTCATATATCTATTACTTTAATTTTCAGTGATCCCAACTTCCTTTATGCATTAAAGAATATGGAAAAAAAAGTACTTGGAGTGTCAACGCTTGTTAAAGGAAAACATTTCATAATTAATGAAAAACAAGCATATATGGGCAAAAAATGTTCTTTTACTTTTTTAAGGTGGAAAATGTTTTCCTGGACTACAGCCTTATCACCACCATCACTGAGTCCCTTGGTTTATGTTATCCGCATATGATAGTGTTCTAGTGGATGAAACTAGAGAAGGAATTAAAACTAAAATAAAAATCTGGAGAGAAGTACTCGAGTCAAGGTTTTAAAAAGCATCTGCAACCGTTACGTAACGGTTGTAGTTGTTATTGCTACCTGTTACGGCTGCTATAGCGGTATGACATAAATTCACGACTATAACAACCGCCACCGTTACGTAAAGGCCGCAACGGCTGTTACATTGCCGCTACAACACCGTTATGGACCGTTACGCTTCCTAAAATAAAAATCTGGAGAGAAGTACTCGAGTCAAGGTTTTAAAAAGCATCTGCAACCGTTACGTAACGGTTGTAGTTGTTATTGCTACCTGTTACGGCTGCTATAGCGGTATGACATAAATTCACGACTATAACAGCCGCCACCGTTACGTAAAGGCCGCAACGGCTGTTACATTGCCGCTACAGCACCGTTATGGACCGTTACGCTTCTATTTTTTATTTTTTGTATTATAAATTTTTTATATATTGCTATTTTCTCCTTTTGTTTTCTAGTTATAAAACTTAAGTAAAAATCTTATCTATACATATTTTGAATGTCCAATCTTTAAGTTCTACAAAATTTCTTTATTTTTTTTACTTAATAATATTTGAATATGAACTTATATCTATTTCTCTTATGTTAAATTTATTGAATAAAATTTAGATTTTATGTTATTGTAGACACCCCATTTTTGACCGTCCTCAGGACTTGGACGTCACCGCTTGAACACCCGGTGATCATCCTTGTTTGTGTTTGTCTTGAGTTCCCAGAGGTCTCAGCTACGCGCCTTACCTCAGGATCTCTCGACTCGATTGTTTTGTGTCTGGTTTTGCACTAAACACTTGTGTTTTTACTTTGGAGGGCAAGGAATGGCTTATTGGCCATCCCCACACATCACCGGCCATGGCTTGAGGCCACCGGCTGTGTTTTGTTGCCACCGGCCAAATGTTTAGCCGGCCGGCACTATAGATGGTCGACCGGCCATCTTTTTTGGTCAAATTGCATTTTTGGCCGGCCGACCACTGTGCATCTGCTTTTGTAGGGATCTCCCTCTTGGCTAGCTTGTCTTGTAAGCTTGCAAGATTGAACCTTCTATAAGGGGAGGCCTCTTCTCCCTCTTGTAGGTTAGACAAGATTTTGATAGAGAGCTCTGGTTTTAGGGTTTGAGTTGTATACCTATCCTATATATATATATATATATATATATATCTTTCTTTGCCTTGTGTGTGTTTTAGTCTTACTATTGCACACAAACACCTAGTCTTACACCTTTTCTTGGTTGCTGAGGGGCCAGAGGTCTGT